AGATGTGTTCCGCTCTGATGGACTGGAGATGCCTCTCTGCCCAGTTCCCCAACTGGAGGGCCTCGTTGCGAAGGGCCTTGGAGTGGGTGCCCCCTTTTCTGTTCACGTGGGCCTTGGCTGCCACGTTGTCCATCAGGACCAGGACATGGTGACCGGCCACCGTGGTCTTGAAGTGACGTAGGGCCAGATGGATGGCTCTGAGCTCCAACCAGTTTATGTTGTTGCGCAAATCTGTTGGAGTCCAGCAGCCCTGGGCTATCTGGGCCTCCCGGTGTGCTCCCCAGCTGAACAGGCTCGCGTCCGTTGTGAGTACCTTCCTTACTGGTTCCTTGAAGAGGGATCCCTTGTCTAGTGCTGGGATCAGCCACCAACAGAGTGAGAGCAGCACCTGGGGTGACACTCGAACCTTGAAGCTGGCATCGCTCATCCCGGCTCTCTGGTATGGAAGCAGGAACCACTGAAGCTCCCTGGCATGTAGGCGAGCCCGCGACACGATCCCTATACAAGAAATGAATTTCCCAAGGAGCCTGGAAAGAAGAACTACAGGGACAGAGTGTAATTTGCGAATTTCAAGGATGAGCTGTACAATGCTGTCCTTTCGGTCCTGGGAAAGGAAAACCTCCCCAGACACCGAATCTATGATGGATCCTAGGTCTGGAGACTGGTAGACGAGACCAATTGGCTCTTCTCTAGGTTGATAGAGAATCTCAGGGACCTGAGGGTGTCAATGGTGAGCCCCAGGTCCTGCCTGGCAGTTTCTGGGGACCTGGCTAGGACAAGGATGTCATCCAGGTATTAAACGAGGTGGACTGGGAAGGAACGCAGGTGGGCCATGGCCAGCACCTTGGTAAAGGTCCTGGGGGCTGAAGCCAGCCCAAAGGGAAGACCTCTATATTGAAAATGATTGCCCTCGTGGGAAAATCTGAGGAACCTACGATGTTCCGGGGCGATTTTGATGTGAAGGTAGGCCTCCGTGAGGTCGATGGAGGCCAAGCAATCGCCCTGTCGGATGCCTTCTAAGATGGATTTCAGGGAGGCCATCTTGAACCTATGGTAGACCACCCTGGAATTGAGCAGTTTAAGATCCAGGATGGCTCTCCACCNCTGAAAGGATACGAAGAGGGCTTCTGAACGCCTAAAGGGCACCGTGCACTTCAGATAGATGCGCAAGGCTCTTCTGAGGTCCAACCTGTGCCAAGATCTTTCCCTATCCCTGGAGGGCTGCAGACAGAAGTCCGGCAGAACTATCTCTAAAGCCCTGTGGAAAGGAGAATTGACCTTGGGCATGAACACGGGGTCCAGTCTGAGGATGACCCAGTTCTCCAAAAAGGTGCAGAGGTCTGGTCTGCTGGAGAGAGTGTTGATCTCAGATACTCTCCTGGCTGAGGTGATGGCAACCAGGAAGACGGCCTTAAGGGTCAGGAATTGTAGGGAAACTTCCCTCAAGGGTTTGAATGGTGCCTCCGTCAATGCCTGGAGGACCGTGGGTAGGTCCCAGGTAGGGAATCGTTGGACCACGGGGGGTTTCAGATTCGCCGCTCCCTTAAGGAAGCGCCTTATGACCGGATGTTGGGACAAGGGTGGAGCATCCACCCCCCACCCCCCAGGACTGTGGAGAGAGCAGAGACTTGTCTCCTCAGGGTGCTGGGGGCCAGACCTTTTTCCAGATCTTCCTGTGGGAAGTCCAGAACCTGGGGCACAGAGGCCAAAGCTGGGATGATGTCCCTAGCTTGACACCAGTCCACGAAAGCAACCCAGGAGGCGTTGTAGATTCGAGTGGTGGACTGCCTCCTGGACGCCTCGACAGTCCTAATGACCTTCACAGAAAAATGGGCCTCTCTCAACTGTTCCCACTCAATCGCCAGACGGTCAGATGGGGCCACTCCAGATCTGGATGCTCCAGAGACCCCTGGTGCAGGGACACCTCACCCGGGGGAATCCTCCAGTGGGGAGCTGAGGACAGCTCCACCAGGTCTGCTATCTAGGGATGGCGTGGCCAGAAGGGAGCCACTAGAATCATCTCTGCTCCCTCTGACACTAACTTCCTCAGAACCCCGGGAATGAGGGGAAGGGGGGGGGAAGGTGTAGAGAAGACCTGGTGGCCATCTTCATCGAAGGGCGTCCATGTCCATGGCTCCCTTGGATGGGAATCTCGATACAAATCTCGGCATCTGGGCCTTCGCTGGGGTTGCGAAGAGACCCACCGTCGGGCGCCCGAACCTCTCGCAGATCTGCAGGAAGATGCTGGGATGGAGCTGCCACTCTCCGTTGTCGATCGTCTCCCTGCTGAGCCAATCCGCTTGCTGGTTCTCTGTCCCGGAGATGTGTTCCGCTCTGATGGACTGGAGATGCCTCTCTGCCCAGTTCCCCANGTAAACTTTATCCTTTTTGTAAGAACATTTTGCATAATCCACTATATTTTTATCCAAAATGCTTTTAACCTTTTTGCAAGTCCACCATATATGAAAATATGTAGTGTCCACACAATCCACTTATTCTTGTCCTCCACCAGGATAGGATGCAGCGAAGCACCGAAAAGTTTGTCCCTGGCGTAGTCTGCTCCTGCCAGGTGCCACTTAGCCCGGGACTCCGCCTGCCAGTGGCGCAACCACAGCAGGCGCCTGGACGCTACAGAGGATGATAAGGTTCGAGAATCATACTTAACTGCATCCAAGGCGGCGTCTGCTGAGAACTGCGTGGCTCCCAGCACCTTAGAGATGTCCTGCAGCAGTCGTACCTCCGTGGCCGGGGTCCTGTCTCTCAGCTGTTCCAGCCACAACACTGTAGACCTATTGAAAAAGGATGCAGAAGTGGCTGCCCTAATGGCCCAGGTTATTGTTTGGAATGACTTATGCAAAACGATGTCTGCCTTCTTGTCCTCTCCTTTGAGACAGTTGTCGATGTCTCCAGTGACCACGGCTGAAGCTGAAGCTAGGGTGGCGACCGGGGTGTCCACCTCGGGAACCTGAAGAGCTTGGGCAAAGGTAGAATTAAGATTGCCCCCCAGGTTGGGAAAGGATCCTGGCTTAACCCACTGGGATTTAAGCACCTCCAGGAACATCTCTGGAGTGGGGATCTCCTCCTTCTCCACTGGTGGTCTATGGAAGGGACCCTTCTTGTTACCCCTGCTAATGCTGGGCATGGTAGTCGCAGGCCTGGGATCTGGAGGGGTATCCAGGTCTGCTGTGGCCCTGGCCTTGCGAAGTAAGGAGCTAAATAAGGAGGGGGGAAAGAGGCCAGCGATGTTGGGGGCCTCGGGTGCCTGGGCATCCTCATCCTCAGAAAACCCCACCTCCTTCAACTCTCCCTCCTCTAATTCAGAAGCCTCACTGGCAGTGGAGGGAGAGGGAGACCTGGACCCTCTGGAAGCAGAGGCCCTGGGGCGGTCCTGGTTGCCCCTG